AACCTTTGGCATCCAAATTTAAGAAGTTAAGAATAAATAGTGCATGTGATATCAGGTTTCTAGGAGACCCCTTGGTAGGGTACCATTCCCCCTTTTTTATTTTGTCTAAAGTAATTTTGAGTGTGAGATTAGCCCTTTTTATAATGTCTTGTCTTTGAGGATTATATGGGATTTTTGTTATATGTGTTATTTTAAATTGTTTGTAAAACTTTGAGAAGCCAGAGCTGGTATAGCCTGGATCATTGTCTGTTTTAATTTGTTGTGGACATCCAAGTATTGAGAAGGCAATAAGGAGATGAGTGATGACATGTTTAGTAGCTTTCCCAGATTGTAGGGTGGCAAATATGAATCCACTATAGGTATCGATGTTGACATGTATGTATTTAAGATTTTCAAATTCAGGGTAATGTGTGACATCTATTTGTCAGAGGGCATTTGGAATTAAGCCACGAGGATTAACTCTCAGATGAGGCGTAGGAAGGTGCAGAGTGTATGTAGGGCAGGCCTTAACAATTTGTCTAGCTTGTTTTCTAGTAAGTTTATACATAAGGTGAAGCGTGTGAGCATTAAGATGATGGAATTGGTGTGTCTTCTGTGTCTGGTCAATCGGAATGGGGGCATCAGTATTTATTGAACAGGCAAAAGCCTGAGGTCTTGTAGCTAGGTCTGTTAAGTGGTTGTCCTCTGTGAGTGGGCCAGGTAGGTTAGAGTGTGCACGAAGGTGCCCAATGAAAAAGGATTTGGATCTTTTTTTGATTAGATTTTGTAATTGGAGGAAGAGACCACCAGTCTGAGAAGCAAGTTTGATCAGTCCACATGTTTTTAATAAGGGGACAGATTGAGCAATATAGGCATTGTCAGTAAAAAGATTAAAAGCTCGGGCAGGGAATGTAGAAAAGACCTCTATGATTGTCTGTAGCTCGGTTAATTGGGCCGAAGAGTGGCGGTTTGGAATTGGACAATGTTATCGTCCCACACATAGGCAGCCATCCCGGTGGAAGAACCATCTGTAAAAATGGATAGGGCTTCTAGCAGAGGAGAACGAGAAGTGACTTTTGGGAAAATGAAGTCATGTCTGTTAGCAAAGTCAATGAGTTTGTTGGGAGGATAGTGATTGTCCAATAATCTTGAATAAGAAGCGAGAGCAATTGGCCAGGAATCAGTAGTCTGTATAAGCCAATCGATCTGATCTTTAAGGTAGGGTTGAATAATGACATCAGGTTTCTTTCCAAAGTATATCTTTTCATGGTCTCTGTCTAAAATAACCAGGTCTGTAACTGTAACATAATAGGGATAAAAGACCCGCTTAGGGGAAACTGGGAGATGAACCCACAAAAGGGGAGCGGTTTGTCAAAAGACAGCAGTGGGAGAAAGAGAGGTTTTGTAGATGATATACTGTAAAGGAGAGTTATAATCTACAAAGGTAATTGTTTGATTTTGGATGGTTTGTTTTACCGTGTTAATGGCTTTGTGTCCCTCGGCAGTGAGCTCCCGAGGTGAAGTGGGGTGGCTATCACCTTGTAGGGTATCATAGAGAGGCTTTAGGTCATGTTTAGTGAGCTTTAAATAGGGCATAAGCCAATTAATGTCTCCGAGCAGTTTTTGGAAGTCATTCAGAGTTTTAAGACCGTCCAGCCGTAAGGTAAGCTTTTGGGAGGAAATGTGACGTCCCTTCATCTGAAATCCGAGGTAACTGTAAGGGTCTTTTAGTTGAACCTTATCAGGGGCAATCTGGAGGCCATGAGATTCAAGGGCCCGCCGAAGGTCAGCATAACAAGCTAGTACCTCACTTCCTAATTGTCCCGCCACGAGGATATCATCCATGTAATGGATAATATACATTTGAGGCCAATTGTCTCGGGTGGATTGGAGTGTTGTGGCTACAAATGACTGGCACAGGGTGGGACTATTGGCCATGTCTTGGGGCAGCACTAGCCATTGAAAGCGCTGTATTGGGGCACAGAAATTGGTCGCCGGAAGGTTAAATGTGAAGCGTTTTTGATCAGCAGGATGTAAGGGAATGGTGAAAAAGCAATTTTTTAAATCAATAATAACCTTATAATATCCAAGGGGGATGGCTACCGGTGAGGGAAGACCAGGTTGTAAAGCTCCCATAAGTATCATGGTTTTATTAATAGCTCTGAGATCTTGTAAGAGCCTCCATTTTCCCGACCGTTTTTTGATGACAAAAATGGGAGTATTCCAAGGGGAATGGCTAGGAATGATATGGCCAGCATGAAGCTGTTTCTGTACCAGCTGTTGAGTTGTTAATAACTTCTCTTTGGAGAGGGGCCACTGATCAACCCACACTGGATCATCTGAGAGTCAGGTGATCTTTTCAGCATGGACCACAGGAGTGTCAGTGACCCCTATGGAAAATGGCCTAACCCTGTTCGAGGGGGTCGAGGGACGGGCTCAATGGGGTGAGTAAGGCTAGTAGGGTGTTTTTCCAGCCCTGTTCCTGGAATGTACCCATTTTTAAACATCTGCATAGTGACAATTTTATTAGGGCTAGAAATAATCATCCCCATTTGTGATAATAGGTCTCTCCCCCATAGATTAATGGGTAATCCTGAGATGATATAAGGTTGAATGGTGTCTTGATTATCATCTTGGCCCCTCCAGGTCAGATCTTTGGCACTTTGTTTAGGATTTTGACTCTGACCTATACCCTTGAGATGGGTGAGGGTATCCTTTAACGGCCACGCCCGAGGCCAATCCTCTCCCTTAATGATAGTTATGTCAGCACCAGTGTCGACCAACCCAGAAAACTGTCTCCCATCTAACCACAAGGTCATGAGAGGCTTTTGGGCTGAAAGCATCTTCGATCAATAGACATCGGATGAGCCGAATCCCTGGTTGTCTCGGGCGTTGTTAAGAGCCTTATTAGAGGTAGAGAGAAGGGGAAGGAGTAGCAATTGAGCAAATCTTTGGCCTGATTGAATGGTATTAATAACTTTGGGGGAAGAAACCATAACTTTAATTTTCCCAGAGTAGTCGCTATCAATCACTCCTGGGTAAACCAGCAGTCCATTCATGGTACTGTTGTTTTGGCCTATTACGAGGCCAAAAGTCTCTTTAGGTAAGGGTCCAAAGACTCCTGTGGCGAGGGCCTGGACTCCCATTTTTGGGGTCAATATTGTGTGGGTGGTGGCACTGAGGTCCAATCTGGCACTTTCTTTTGTGGCTCTGACGAGGTCTGAAATGGATTGTTGTTTGTTGGAGCAAAATTGAGCGCCCCGTAAATTTGTTTGGAATTGGGGGCCCGGGGCTGGCCCCCTTTCCCGTTTTCCGAAATCGAACCCTGGAGATGGGGGAGGGGCCGGCCCTGGGCATCAGTTTTGGATCGGCACTCACTCGCCCAATGTCTCCCCCGATTGCATTGGGGGCAGGGCCCTGGGGGCGGAGCGTTGGGGCCCTGTGCCTTAGTGGTCGGGCATTCTCTAGCAAAATGGCCGGTGGCCCCACACCGGAAACACTTATTGTTGACGTGGCATTGTAGGAATTGTTTGACTGTGAAGCCTTGCATGGCAGCTGCCATGGCAAGGCCCTGTTGGTAGGCGGCCCCAATCTCAGAGCAAAGGCGAATGTAGCCGGAAAGGTCAGTTTTTTTTTTATAGGGGCGGATAGCGGCCTGACAGGTGGCGTTGGCGTTCTCAAAAGCAAGCTGTTTAATGAAATCTGTCTCTGTCTCTGCGCTCCCAAAAATCCGGCCTGTCGTCGTGAGAAGGCGGTGGACAAAGTCCGCAAACGGCTCGTCTGGCCCCTGCCGGATATTAGTGAGGGAGGCACTTATATCTCCTTTGGAGGGGAGTTTTTTCCAGGCCCTAGTGGCTGTGGTCTGAATCTGGGCATACAACCCTGCGTCAAATTGTATTTGTTGGTCGTTAGCGGCGTAGGCCCCCTCCCCAAGAAGCATGTCAAGCACCCAACCATTTCCCGCCTGAGCATTGTGTCTAGCGGTCTCTCAGCAATTCTCAACATACTCAGATTTCCATAATAAGTAGTCACCTCCTGTAAGGGTGGCATGGGCTAGGGTCTGTCAATCAATTGGGGTGAGCCAATTTTTTGTCACCGATTTTAAAATAGTCATGGTGTAAGGTGTAGTGGCCCCGTATTGAGCCGCAGCCGTTTTCAGCTCTTTAATAACCTTGAAATCAAAGCCGCTATGGTGTCTCCATGTCTGACCCTGTGTGTCAACAGTCTCAGTGACAGGGAAGGCTTCCACAGGTTCAAGTTCTAGGGGTATCCTTGATCCGGATGGCACCCTAGGGGTTGCCCCTCTAATGGGGGGTCGTGGCTTATGGGCATCTGTTCTAGGGACACTTTCATGGGCCTTGCCTGTTCTTAAGCCTTCAAGCTGGGTAATAAGTTCTTGATGTTTCTTTTTTAACCTTATCTGTTCTTTTAGAAAGTCTATTTTGTCTCGGAGTTCTTTTTGGGGATCAACAACAGGATAGGCCAAAGCGGGAGTATTGGGGCCTGGATGGATATAAGGAGGGGGGCACCCAGAGCCACCCCGCAGTGTTTCTCCCGCAGACTCGTCAGTCTCGGAGTCCTTTTGGGGCGGATCTGGGGGCAGAGGCGGGCAGCGATAGGCTTGAAGGGAGGGATATAGCGGCAGAACCTCCCACGAGGGTGGGGCTGCCTTAGAGGCAGTGACAAAGGGAGAGGAAGCGCGGGCCCGGCGAGGCTTTGCCTTATAGGGCTTGGCAGGGATCGTGGCCGTTTGGGATTGGTCCGAGGGAGCATTATGTCCATCGGGGGCGGGATCATCATCACTGTCAAAGGACATCAAGTCCTCTTCCTCATCTGGTGAGGAAGTTGTGGCCTTAACGGGCCTGGGTCCCGGCGCCATATTGGCGTCCCAGGGGACTGTGTCTGAGTCACCAGCGGGTGTCAGCTCCTCACCACTACGGAGGGCTACCTCCCCAACCTGTATAGCCTGAGCCACCAGTGGATCCCTCGCTTTTTGGGAGATAATATCATTAATCAAATTCCAATATGAGAACGCCGCGATCGGGACCTTTTCGGGCCCGCAAGTGGCATAATAATCCTGAAGAGCCTCCCCCACCTTTTTCCATCTCTCTTCGTCAATGGTTCCCTCAGCAGGGAACCAGGGACAGAGAT